GTGAGAGCTGGGTGTGCTCTCCACTCCTGCTGCATTTCTGTGGGCAGGCCAAGGGCTGACCTTCACCTGCCTCTCTCAGAAAGCAGCTTTCACACAAATTTCAATACTTTCCCTTTAGAGCAACAGCCAGACAAGAGAAACTGCCCAAGGCTGAGCACCGCTGGTCACATCCAAGTGTTTGCAAACACACTTATCCTAGAGCATTGTGCACTTGTCTTTGGACAGCCTGACTGAATGCCTTAGATTCTCCTTTACAACTGCTGAGTCTGATCTTCACAAGGCTCTCCAATATTGTCTCTTCATAAATTTGGTACATGATCTGTATTAATTTATAAGGTAAGAGTCACACTCTGCAAACTCTTAACAACAATCCCTCCTCTCTACACGAATACACTGATTTACCTCACTCACAGGAATCACATCCAAGTATCATTGGCTGAACTCACCTGGCAATCTAGCCCTGATTCTACTGGGATTTGTCTCCTTTGAGAGCAGCTCTTAATTTTCTACAAGCTTTCTCATCTCCCTCTCCTTAACACACAGAACTTCCCCACTGAGGTTTCAATCAGTTTGTGCAAAGGGAAGCACCAGTTGCTGGGGCAGCTCAGTCGGTCTGTGCAGAACACAACAATGAGCCTGGATTTTATCCAGCTTTTCCATTAACATCTGCACAACCCTTTCTGGGGTTCACAATGGGAATTGCAACTACTGCCTTGATCCCAGGTTTTATGTATTAGTCATTTTTTGTAATATGGGAGAGAGGCAGGGAGGGCTCAGTTGCCTGAATGGGGATGCCAAGGCTGTTTGAGACACATGAGGAAAACCAGGATACCTCACTGGGCACCAGATCCAATGGATGTGTCACAGGACAACTGGATGCCGGTGGAGCAGCAACCAGGCAACAGTCAGAACACCCCGGAGAACACAAGGAGACTGTGAGACCTAAATCCTACCTGCATCTACATGGCCCAAATCATCTTTCTGAATGGTCTAAATCACCTTTAGACTGCTTAGTGGGATCTAAAGTCCATCACCATCCCTGGAGAAATTCCCTGGAGAAATTCCCAGTGCCCTTGGCTTGGAACTGGCACCAGGTTCTGGCTCTTGCAGTGCCACAGTTTCCTTTGCATGGATAGGCAAGGGAGAGAAGGGCAGTGGAAGTGCCTTCCAGGCCTCCCAGTGACACAACCAGAATGGACATATTTGCATAAAATGACAATATGGCAAAAAAAGCACAAACAGGTAATTCAAACCCAAAGTGCTGCAACAGATGGACAGTTTGTGGGAACCCACCACGCCCTCCATGCACCTGGAAGCACAGGGAGGCCAATGACAAGCACACAGGTTGCAACAATAAAAACGTAAAAACTAGTGCAGGCAGCACAGTCACACTCCCCAATGGCTGCAACCCCCACGTTTCAAGAAAAAAGACTTACAGCTTTTATATAAAATAACTGTGAACTGGAGAAAGTCTCCATTTGAATTCCCGACCCAGAGATTTGCACAGCAGTGCTGCAAAAAGTAGTAATTATAGAGCAGCTTTTTAATATGCAATGGTGTGCAGCACTTCTCTTTTTGAGCTGAACAGCCAAAGTAATATCATAAATATTATATTTAAGTAGTAGCTCAAACCACACGGTTTTGAAAACAATAAGCAAGCACATGCTTTGCAGGAACAGAGAATTAGAAATGATTTCACATAGGAGGATAAAAGGTTTGCAAGAATTGTGATCACGCTACAGGGAAATAGTTTATACAAGGCTGTACTCGAAGGTACATTCCCAGTTCCAATATAATTAACTGTTTTCAGAGATTTATAGTTTTGCTGTATGCATTTGCTTAAATATTAATTCTGCTGCCTGGTGCTTAAAGCAGGATGGATTGTTCAAAGTGAAAATGGCTGAATGCCCCACTCACAGGAAATATGGGACTTCTTACCAGAGAGCACTGGCTTCTGTTTGATACTTCTGAATATTAATTTATATTTAATTGTAAAAAACAAGAGATCAAAATAGTTCTTTCTCATAAGTAAAAAGTGGGAGCGACATAATGCAGCCTAATACTGTATATTTAACCTCAGCCAATTTGGGGGTTTTCAACTAAAATCACAAAATTTTATGAAGCAGGTGACTGGAGAGAAAGACAACACCGAAATCTTATTTTGAAAAAGACAGTGACCACACGACCATTTTCAGTGTTTGACGTGTTGAAACACTTTCACCATAAACCTTTTACGATTCCATAACGAATCTGCTCAGATATCAACGAGAAGCAGAAATAAAACTAAGTTCAACAGTCTGAACATCGAGGAAGCCTCCAGAGGTTTTGCCGACAAATAAGAACTTGAAACTAATCTTGCACATTATCATTTATCCTTGAGCACAGGTGCTTATTAGCATTAATTAACCTAATGCAAAGCCCCTTCAGGTGTCCCACACCAACTTTAACAGACTCCAGAGCAAGTCCCATGAACGTCAACTTGTTCACAAGCTTCTGCAAGACCAGCTCCTTGGTCTGCAAAGATCACAGAAAGTCCAGTCCTGTGATGAGGCTGGTGCTTTATTCACCTTTATTTAACACTACTGTCACCAAGGCAATACCCCTAAAACAATCCACTGCTCTGAGAAGGAAAACTTGTGGGATTTACTAACAAAGTGAACGTGGAAGGCAGGTCCCAACAGAGAGGGACAGCAAAGCTCTGGCTGCGCTCTGAGAGAAGTCTGAGCATGGGAAGGATTCGGACTGAGACCTGGATATCCCAGGAAAACCCTCACAGAGTTACTCAGTCCCATAATGTGAGTTGAAGAGACATAACATTCAGTCACCTGACTGGAGACTTCTCTTACCAAAATACAGGGCTGAGCACGCTGAGGGGTGGGATCTCTCCCATCTGACAGGTCACAGGAGGCAGACAGGCTGCTACATTCCAGTTAATTTTTATGTCACATATTTATGTTCTAAATCAGGAGGTAATAAAGACACGAACGTGCAGACTTCCTTTTAGTTAACTCTGGACTTTCTTCCAGCTGGGGGGGAGGGCAGGGGCCAACCCCAGTGTTCAGTGATCCCAGGGGCTGGAGATTTAAACAACTTTGAGCCATGGCTGCCTTGGTTTCTCAAACTATTGATCCTCTGCCCACCTCCCGGGCCAGCCAGATGCCCGGTGCTTGCAGCTGAATAACAGGCAGCACACGAGCACAGGCATCAGACCGTGTGCTGTCACCTGCGGATCTCAGCTGGGCAGCGATTTTGGGAGCTGATACCCCGACGCTCCTAAACTTCTCTTTGTTAGGAGCCATCTGGCAGCGTGGCCAGAGTCCTGCCTAAGCAAAAGAAGGGAATGTTTGGCAGCAGCGAGTAGCACCAGCCAGAGTGAGATTCCACCCACTCCCCAACCTCAAAGAACGGAGGTGTCACTTACACGCCGCATCCTACAACTTCTCCTCGTGCATCTCCCTACCCCAAACACCCTCTCGGCAGGAGCCCAGTTAAGCCCAGACCAGGAAAGCCGCTCCGATCCGAGCAGCCGGCGCCAGCCCGAGCCCGCTCGCCCGCGCAGCGCCAGCAGCCCGAGGACGGGGACACGCAGAGACACGCGGGGACCGAATCCGGCTGCTGCAACCGCAAGAAAGTTCGTGCCGATACAACACCCCGGTAAACCACACGCGGGGGACTGGGGAGGAAGCGGCTGATAGGGGAGAGTCCTAATCAAACCGTACGATCTCACCCAGGCACACATCTCCCAGCTCAGCGCTCCCAAAATCACCCGCGAGCACCCAAAGATCGAGGGAAGGGGCAGAAAGGGGCGGCTGGGAAGAGACTGCCTCCCGCCGGCTCCTCTTGGATGCCGGGCAGTTCCAGGAGGAGGAGGGCAGGGGGCTTCTCCCCTGGCAGCCGGAGGGTGCGGGGGGGCTCCTTGCCCCGGAGCATCAACCCCAGGAACAAACAGGGGTGGGGGGCGCAGCTGCGGCCACGGGGGCTCCGGTGCCGCGTCCCCGGCAGCGCCCAGGACCTGTCCCGACTCGCACCTACCTCGGGATGTGGGGCCGGGGTCGCGGGGCTGCGGGAGGAGGCGGCCCGGGCAGCCACGGCCGAGCCGGGGCCGCTGCCCAGCACGGGCGGGCGATGCTGCTGCGGGGGACTCCGGGCGTCTCTTTGGCTCTGTTAGGAAAGTTACCGCGGCCACAAGACCCACCTTAAACCCGCCTCCCCGCAGGACCCGGGGGAGGGGGAAGGAGGAGGGAGGGAGGGAGGAGACGGGGGTGGGGGCTCGGGGCCGTTCTCTTCTCTTTTCTTCTCATAGCGGCGCTGTTCGGGGTGGTGCTCCGGGATGCGGGGCTGGGAACACACCAGTGCATCCCTTCTCCCGCAGGCTCCGCTCCCTTCCCCCGGATTCCTGCTTTGCCGCGCGGTTCCAGCTTCAGAGCGCAGAAACTTTCCCGTTTGCTGCGGCGCTGACGCTGATTTTTGGCTTATTCGTTTTGGTGATGGTTGGTTTGGCATCTCGTTATTTATTTAACCATTTGTTGTTTGTTTGAGGGAAGGGGGGGGGTCGGGTCTAGTCCCGATGCCTCGGGCGTTGTGTCTGTGTTTTGGGGTTTTTTTCCGCCCGATTCCATTAAAATGCCTTAAACAGACTAGAAGGACAAAGAATCAGACCGCCCCCCCGGCATCCCGAGCAGCGCACGGGGGGATGAGGAAGCAAACTATAGCTGGGGGAGAAACACTTGGCGGCTCAGCAGAGGTAGGAGATGGGGGGAAAATACGGCTCCCTGCCTCCTGCGGCTGGAAAACCGGGATCTCCAGAGCAGAGACCTCTCGGATTCCAGCGGGAGATCGCGCAAACTTCTGGAGCCGTTTCAGGGCGCCTCGGTTTGCACACCCAGGGGAGCACACGCAGCTCCCGGTGCCTAAACCAGCCCCGGGATGGGGAGAAGCTGCTTACGAGGTATCGATATATGAGGGGATGCTGCCAGGGAAAAGCGCGGTGGAGAATTTACCTCTTCTCTAGCATCCTCTACCGTCCAGAGCTTCTGCCCTTGCACTGCCACAGCGACTGCACCGCTGCTGCCTTCGGCTGGCTCTGGATGCTCAGAGCGGCATCAGCCGGGGAAGGAATCGCACCCCGTGGTTGTCATTTTCTTCCTGAAAGACGTACCAGAAGTTACAAACGTGTAATGATTTACATCATTAGACCAAAAGGCTCATGACAGGTGATCTGAACAGCTGCACTCAGCTCTTAGCCAGGAACCTTAAGCTTGCACAGGCTGTTCAAAATGAAATGCTCTCCTTGTGCTATGTACTATTAGTGATTATTTTCTAATTAGAATAATAATGTTGGCTGGGTTCCTGCCTTTTTATCCTCTCAAGAATATATGTAAGAAACATAAGACCAAGCCCCTTTCTGATAACACACCAAAATGGTTCACAGAACTTTTTTTGTCCCCGTAGGCACACGATGAATCCCCACATTGTACAATATTTTATGGCCACGTGAAGCTGCCAAAATCCTTTGTCCTGCACCGTGTGTCTCTTGGTCCCCTGCCAGGACATGACTGCAGGTGGTGGCAGCGTTTCAGGATGGAGATGGTTTGGGCCAGCATTGGTACAAAGCTTCCATAGGGGACTCCCTGCAATCTCCCAGCTTCCCAAAAAACTCCTCCACTCCCACCCTGCGTTGGTGCCTCTGGGTTCCCAACCTGGCCTGGTTTGCAGCCTCCCCAGGATGTTGCACCAGTGAGGAATCCGTGTGTGCTGGAGTGATTCCTGCTTTCCCACCTTCTTTTCCAAGCCCAGCTCTGCTCCCTCACCAGCTCCACAAGCTATTTTTCTTCATTACCTCTGACTGTGGCAAACTAAGCAGGTTCTGCAGCAGTTCTGGTGTCTGAAGTGAATTCAGCCCCCTCTTTCCCAACTTGTTTTTAATTATTTTTTACAAACATCCCAATGATGAATATCAATAATAAATTAGCAATCGTGTTTATTTATTAAATTATTTTCAATATTTAATACAATTTAATAGATCAAATTTGAACTCGATTTAGTGAATAAATAAAGATAATTAGGTTTTGTTGTTTGTATAAGAATATTAAACCCACCAGTTGCTCCGTCCTGATGGCATTGTTTATAACTCAGTTTTGTCACCAGTTTCCAGTTGGGGAACTACTTAGCATCCCTGATTTTAGTTTTTAAACAGTAAGATACTCTCTGAAATGCACAAAATGTTTAAAATTAATTAGGCCAGCCTGCTGCTATAATTTTAATTTTTTTCTTTCCCTTTCAGAGTTCTCTTTAAAACTTTCCAAAGAAGTGGCCTGTCAAACTATGAGTGCCCTGGGCATCAATGAAAACCAAGAAATTACACTGTTCTACAGGTGGTTGCAGATATTTGACACAAAGCATTCAGCCATGCTCTTCCTTCTCCTGTAAAATCCCATCCAGCTCATTTATTTCACTTGGAAAGTTCTGGAATTCTCTCCAATATGGTTGTCTACTTGCAGGGCAGCAGAGGGTGGCAAATGCCAATGAATCTGACTGTGGATGTGTTCTACATTTGAGGGTGACTACTAGAATATTCATTTATTGTTGGTCCCTATTTAAATGCAACCCCCTTCTAAGAAGACATTCAGTACAAACAGCACTAGATTGCAGCAAACTGGTTCTAGTCCAGTGCTTCTGTTTTTAAAATGGGCAGTTTACAAATAAAGATATAAAAAGACAGTTTGGCTTTTTTTTTTCTTATTTTTGTTGACTCAATGAGTGTAGCCTAGAGTTATAACTCTGTAAACTCCTGCTGAATCTTTAAGCTTAGAAAGAATCTTTCATAAATCAGAATGAGTCGTTGAAATTCCAAAGGACAAAATAACTCTCAGTTATGTGAGTGCACAGCCTCAGTTTGGTGAAATGATAACTGGTTATCCCCAGGAAGCCTGAGCACCAACATGGAAATGAGAAAAGGATTGGGGGGAAAAAGGCAAAAAAAAAAAAGAAGGCAAGCAAGAGTGTATTACAAGAGTGACTCTGCACAGAAAACTGCTTAATAATTCTGCTGATAAAGTGTGAGCCAGAGAAGAATTCATTTCCCTCTCCCAGAGCTCAGCTGGGGTGACAGGAGTTTAAGGAGGTGCAGCCTTTCAGAAAGGTGAGCAGGAATGTCCTTCAGTGCAGATAAAAGAGTTGGACAACACTGGAGTCACTGGGAGCTTTGACTTCTGGGGAGGCACAACTTTACCCTGAGTGAAAACCAGCCACTTGGACGTTTTCTCTTCAAAGCCCATTCCTCTTTCAAGAGCATTTTCCTGCTTTCCTCTCCTTGCTTCTCCATGTCCAATTCAAAACTAGTTCCTGGCCACTTTTTCACTTTCCACAGGTTCTTTTTGCTCAAAGGGGCAGTTGGGCCTCAGAAAACATCAGCAAACTGAACCATGTCATTGTTTGTAAAAGCATCGGTTATCAACGCTCTGAAATTATTATTCTGTTAATATTAAAGCTCAAGAAATTAAATATGCATCATTTGTGTCTGAATGAGCAATTATTATTGAACATAATGCTTGAAAAAGAAAAACAAAGCTTTTCAGACCTAACATGAATTTTAACTTGTGGGGTTTTTTTTAGAAAACCAATCAGGGTTTTAGTTTATGCATCATTCTGTTCCCTGCAATAATACACTGTCTGTGCAATCAGTGATGATAAATGGGCCATAATTGTAAACTTGATATTGGTTTTCAATATTGAATTCATCATTGTGTCCTCTTAACACATATTAAATACTTTAAAGAATTTATATGTTTCTTTGATTTATCTGTGATTTTTTTTTCCAATATGTAAAATTTATTAGTTTTCTGGTTTTTGAGAAACTAAGAGTAGACAACATCATTAATAACACTGAATAATAGCCTTGGCCTCATTTATGCACAACTCCCTTCTCCCAGACAAAGTGTCCAAACCCAATACAAACATATTAGTTGGAGGTAGGATAGAAAATACAGCCTGAACTAGAGCCAGTTCTGCACAGGTTTTGTTTGAATTCCCTGATCTACCCCCGACCCCTCCAAATAATGATTGCAAGAATTTACTCTCATTTAAAGGCAACTCCTGCACTCATATTTCACTTTATTCTATGGCACAATTGTTGACTAACCTCTACAACACCTAAATTCTTATTAATGTTAATGAGAGTTATACATATGAACTGAGAAGTGAAGAAACCCCTCACCATGAAAAAAACCTCTGAACAGCAGCATTTATAATGCATAATTAGAGCAATGTCACACAGGTCAACAGCAGCCTTGGCTTTCTTGTGAAAACTCTTATTTGGAAAGCTGCAAAGACTGGATTTTTTTCCTGTCAAGAAAACCCACACTGCAACTGAAGCAAGAAACTGCTTCACCTTTTGGTTTTGAGAGCTAAAGGACAATTTACCCACCAGGCTCCTGCTTGTCTCCAGGACATCCCTCCTAGTCCTGCCTGAGGTAGAATCCAGGCTATGGGAGGAATTTGACCAATTCCCAACTTTACACCAGCAAACAGGCATTTACAGGTTGAACATTATCAGCTGTATTTGTGGTTCAGTTCCTTGTTTGATTATTACCAATCTCTTGAGTTTGGATCTCTTTGAGTTTCTCTTTCACCCAAACCCAAAGGCTGGAACTGCCAAGAGCAAGCACAGACCAAAAAAAAGGGGGCAGAGAAGCAGCAGCTCAAGAAGAATGTTGATTCACTCCATCTGCCTTCCCCAATAAACTGAGGTTCCCCAAAGTTCTGCTCCTTCACAGAGAGGCTGTTCTCCCTTAGGAGAGCCTTCAAGAGCCTGCTTTCCCTTAGGAAATTCCCCCTTGACCAGAATTCCAAGTGTTAGCAAACCAGAAACAGAGTTAAAATAAGGACTGAAGCAGACAGAAGTTTGTGTGCTTGGCATTCTGAAACAAGCACGGGATATATTCATTTAGACATTATTTACAGGTGCTTCTAAATATGCTGGAGCAAATTTATCATCAAGCTTAACTTGTTGTCTTCAGCCAGCTGTCTCCAGATCCACAGAATATTAAGGAGAGGACTTAAGTCTGTAGGAAATGTACTGTTGCAGCAATTGGCATTATTTGGGCACACTGTGGAATGCTCAGCTGTGCTTTCATCAAAAGAAATGTGGAGTTTACTGCTCTTGCCCTCAGTGAGGAATGGGTTTGATTACACAAAGAAGAGACGCTGAGAGAAGCTGTGAATTTATCTTCAGGATGAATTGCTGCAGGAATTTTTACCCTGAAGCTGTAGGAACTAGTTGAATGCCAACACTGAATATCAACATTCTCTGAAGTGACCCCTCTTCTGTCAAACCCCGAGTCCTGACTCCCAGCTGGCTCAGTGCTCCCCAACGGGCTCAGCAGGAGACCTTTGGAAAGAGGATCATTGGAGTTTTTCTCTGCTCTGGGAATTTTGTTGTTGGTTTTATTCATCCCTGCAGAGATGAGCAGCCCACAAAGCCAGTCCACCTTCATAAGACCTCACCCTGTTCCAGTGAGAGCTGAAGATGCACCTTTAGGCTGACTGCAATGACTCTTGAACTGGACAGATTATTTTATGCCTCACTTTCCCACCTGCTAAAATGGAAATATTAATTCCTAATATTCATTGCTGCCCAGAACCTTGGTCTGTCCTACATATGCTACAGAGATTAAAATTATAATGGACACTTTGAAATGTTGGAATTTTGAGGAATTACGTTCGTTACCATTCAAACCATAAAAAAACCCAAGCAAATCATAACAGAAAATCCTACAAGTTTTACTTCTGTTTTCAAAGAAAATCTAAGAAATCTTGGCTGCAAGTGTTTCTTTTCATTTTAATCCATCCATAGGCACTCACAGAATGATCTACCAGGAGTTGATCCCCAAACTGAGGGAATGCTGCAGTGCATTTGTTTCTTTGGTTTGCCACCTTACGAGGGAAAAACCCCACATTTCTGAGATATTTTTGGTAACGTGCGACTAAGTAGCAAAATTAAAACTAGGAAATTAATAACTCCATGGCATTTCAATTCCATCAACTCTAATCAACATAAATCCATGCTAATTAAAACCTGCAAATCCTGAGGATACCAAACAGATAGCCCTCTGTTGTAGGGAGATGGCAGCAACAGGCACATTCCACACAAAGGGAGAGGGTGGAAATCTCTGAAAGAGGCAAAGATGAAGCTGCACTAGAAGCTGTATTTTTGGAGTACCACTAGGCCCTAATAATCTCTAATTGGTGCAATAAAAATTAAAAAAAACTCGTAAATTTTGTCCTTTAAAACTTAAAAAGCACTTTTATGAGCTAAATGAAGCTTCAGAGGCTGAAAAGGGTCACTAAGTTTATCACAATCATTGCTATAGTTTTAGATTTACCCCTGGGGAATCCCTAATTGGCGAAAACAAACATAAATTTTGTCCTTTAAAACTTAAAAAGCACTTTCACAAGCCAACTGAAGGATCTGAAGGAAGTCTACAAACTTCACAGGCTGCCAAAGGTTCCTAAGTTCATCACAGTGATGAAACCAGAAATAGTGCAGTGATGTAAAGCATGTTCTGATCAGTGTGATGAATAACACACACCAGTTTAAAGGAGGATAATAGAAATTGTGTAATTGCACCACAGCCTTTGTTTCAAAGTCAGAACATCTTAAATCTTGAGTCTGTCTTAAGGACTTGATCAAAAGCCCATAAACATTAACAAGATTCTTTGCTCTGACTCCCCTGGGCCTTGCATGTGTCCTTTTTACAGCACCTTCACTCATCTTAAATCAGTTCAGGGAGCTCCTCATCTCTCCTACAATCCATTCCATCCTGCACTTACAATTGGCACCAGCTTTAAAGTACATAACTAAAGCTGTCAAATCTACCTGATCCTGGGGACTTTTCATGTTACACCAAGAGCAGCAGTTCCCCTTTGCTGCTCCTGCCCTGCCAGGGGAAGGCAGGGCCCCGAACTGAGCGTGGCTGGGTTTTGTTTGTGCACATCTGCAATAGGTGATACTGGCACTGGGGGTTAAGGAGAGAACCCATCTTCACCCAGCTCTTTAAAAAAAGGCCTCTTTTGTCCACTGGCAGTTTTTCCCCCCAAGCAGCACATTAAAGAAAGGCACGTGCTTGGCAGGCAGTGCTGTCACCCTGCCAAGGAGCAACACAGGAAGCAAACAACCTGCTGCCCCTCCTGGGCGAGTGGAGTCTCCCAGCAAGGAAAAGGGCCTGGAGTCAGGGCTGGAGCTCAGATTGTTCCTAGGATCACATTCCATCACAAACTTTCCCCAGCAAGGAAAAGGGCCTGGAGTCAGGGCTGAAGCTCAGGCTGTTCCTAGGATCACATTCCATCACAAACTTTCCCCACCATTGCCCTGGAATCAGAGTAACAGCCCAGAGCCGTGGGAGTGCAGAGCTGGGGGGAAGCAAAGCCGTGGGTTCCCAAATTAATCTCTGAAATCACAGCGAGCGTTGTCTTCATGATGTTTGCAACAACCACTGGCACTGAGGGGGTCTGGTGGCAGAAGTCCTGAGGGCTGGCAATGGTTTCCCAGACTAAAAAGCCTGGGAATCACTGATTTTATTCCTGCAGCAAGGAGCAAGTTGCACCTCGACACCTCTTAATGTGTTCATTTAACTTGTTCTTACAAATTATCAGTGAATGGTAATCCACAACCTCTTCATGCAAATTGTGCCAGAATTCAAGACAATAAATGTGCAGAATTTAATACATGTTCTTCAAGAATATTTAATGCTAGTTGTAGTTTCCTTTTCAAAACTGCACATTGTGGCTTGGTTGGTTTATTTTCTTGCAAGGAAGCAAAAATGGAACATCACATATATAAAGTCTTGGAGTACATTATATTTAGCAAAGCAAGAAAATAAAACTGATAATTTTTATCCATCCTACCTGTTGTGATGTCCACTGGTGATGGTTTAGTGAAATACCTTCTCCCTCTGTGTTTTCAGTGTGAAGCAACAGTTACAGTTGGCCTTTGCCATACGAAAGCATTAATTCCACCCTCTGGAATTAGCATCTGGAACAGCAGGAGGACTTTGGTGGATAATGAGGAAGGCAGCTTTAGGAAGGTTCCTCAGCTATGAGCACAAACACTCCCCAGGTGCAACTTTCATCTGAGTCTCCCCTGCATGTCAGTCCATTGGATCAAATCAACAGGAGAAGCTGAAAAGAAGACAGAGATAAAAATGAGTTGGGACACAGGAAGATGCTTTAATAGATAAAAAAAGCTACAGTCTCTTTAAGATAGGATTTTTCCACTTTGTATTCCTATTGTCTGAAATCAGGCCTGAATAGAAGAAGATAACTTGATAAAATATAGGCAAAAAAAGAAATCATATAAGGAAATAATGGAAATACTGTTATGGACTTTTGTGAGTATAAATAGTTTTGGAAATGAAACCGTCAAGGCCAGCATATGAAATGATGTAGAAATAAAGTCACTTTAATGGTCAGTCTGCTGCAACCACATAAACATTCTCTACTTCCTTTCATAGCCCAGCATCTTGTAAATTCCTTTTTCTTTTAATCTGACATATGGGGAGACATTAGTTGGAGACTCAAGGGGACAGAATCTGAAAGAGAAGCAGAAATGGATCAAGGGAAGATAAGGAAAAGAAATCATCAACGGGAGATATTAAATTCCAAGAATGGAACTGAAGGGATGGGACACACTAGAAGAGAAAAAAAAAAAGGTGGTGAGATAAGCTGGAAAATAACGTGCTGAACTCAATTTTAAGCAAAAATATTAGACTGAAATAATCAGGGACTGTCTCTCCAGCTTTTCCTCTGCTTCTGAAGGTCTGGGCTGTATCTGTGAGAGTTTTCCTGGCACCTGACTGCAAATGCAGAACTGTTCTGCCACAGAACTGGGGCTGCTCTTCGCCCTTCACTTGGCTCCAGCAGAAGAACTTTCTCCCCCTGCAGCTGCACTGGCTCATCCAGCCCCTGCTCACACTGGGGCTCTGCACTCCCTCCACTCTGCACACTGGGATGTGGAACTGGGACTAGAGAAAGAGTGGGAAAATATCTAAAACAAGCATCAATATAAAAGATCAGGCAGCAATCTCACTAGATTAAATGAGCATTTTGGTAGTTGATTGGCATTCTCATGTCCTTTGTGTCCCCAGAAAGTTCCACATCTTATCAGCTGCCACATGAAGGAGCTTCATTTCTAGGAAATGAAGTTTTCTCCACAGGAAGTGTTGGAACGCTGTCTTATCCCTGATCTATAGTTATAATGCCTTGGGCAACCTCGAGCAGCCTCTTGACCCCAAAGGATTCTCTTTGGACCATGCACAGCAGCAGCCACTTTCTTCCCCGTGCCCTGCAAAGCCAACCTCTCAATCCATGGTGGATTTTCCCTTTGGAGGTCATGGGGACAGCCAGAGGTGACAGGCAGCCTGATTGTGCAACCCAAACTACTGGTCCAAGGTTTCATTTCTTCCTCTGACAGTATTTTTTGTACCTTGTTTTTTCTAAAGTTTTATTAGCCCATTAGATTATTTCCTCATTATAATGGCAGCTCAGTCTCTTTCAGAAACTTATAAAACATATAAAACCTTCCTAATATCTTCATAAACCAGAATTAAATCTGCTATTGACAGTCAAGGGTGATGAACCAAGGGAATGGATCTTTGGCTCAAGTCCTGGCTGAGCCACTCAGTTGCCACGTGACCCCAGGCAAATAATTTGATCTTTTTAATTGCAGCAGTTATAAATTTGGCTAAGAAGCAAGACCTTTCTGAATAGCACCAGCCTTTGACCTCAGCTTGTGTGAGGAAATGCATCTCCAAAACCTCAGGCTGAATGATGCAACAATTTTTCAGTTATCTACCCCTAGAAACTATGTGGTTGCTCACAGAACTTGGACTCTTCAGCACCAGGGGGGATTATGGCACAGAAATGTTGTCAGTGTGTGTATGGTCCCATCAGAGGGAGGGAAGAAAACAGACCCAGACTCTTCTTCCAGGAGGAAAAGCAATAGGTAGAAGCTGAAAAACAAGGAAATTCTACCTAAAAGTAAGAAAAAACTGTTTCATTGGGAGGGTGGTCAGATATGAAGATGTTTCCAAGAGAGGTTGTGGAGTCTCCATCCTTGGAAATATTCCAAACCCAGGTGGGTGTGGTCCTAGTGAAGCTGCTCAATGAGGAGGGTCTGGAAAGCTCCTGAGGTCCCTCAACTGCTCCACGACCCAATGTATGGAGGGTGTGGGTGACACAGGGAACACAGCACTGGTGTCCATCCAGCCATGGAATCTGACACCTCAGCCATGGAATCTGACACCTCAGCCAGTTATTGCCCCATCCTACTGCTCCCCATGACCCAAAGGTGACCAGAGGAGATGTTGGACCATTTTGTGAGGTGGTAACAAGGAGCTCTTTGGCAGTTGGATCAATGGCTTGGTACTCACAGGACAGTTATTGACACCTGACTCTTCCTTCTGTTAGACCCTGTGGATGAAAGGAGTGGAGGGAAAAGAGCCCTCAATCCACACCCTGCTCCCAGGAAGGCCAGTGAACAATGAAGGTGCAGCTCAGCTTGCACGAGCTCAGCCTGTGTGGAAAATAAACACAGATGATGATCCAGACTCTTCCCATCCCCAGGGATTTATCCTACATACAGAGGGATAACTGGAGTCCTGAGGCTGGGATGAGCAAGGCTGTTGGAAGTAATATTGGAAGTAGTGGAAGTAATGGAGTTGCTTTGAGCCCGCCCCATTTAAGCTCAGTCTCACAACAAATCAGTTTTTAACTGAACACTCTCTCACCGTCCTCACTCCAACAAACCTCTTTAACCATATCAAGAACTAATTTTGCATAATGACTGCAATATGAAGCTGTAACAAAACCATCCAGGATTTGTCAGGGAAGCCTTAAGGACGACGACAAAGGCACCCACTGAGAAGAGGTTCAGCAGCAGAGTGTCCCAGCAGAGCTGGGCAAACACTCCAACCCATTTCCCTTGGAGATTCATTTGAATTTTTAAATGGGTTTCTTTGACTGTTCACATCCCTTTTGTGCTCACTTTCCATGAATAGCAAATGAGCTTTAATAAGGGGGATAATCATGAAAAACACATTTTAAGCTTGAACATTTGCCAAATGAAACCCTCCAATTGCACGGTGGTTAGCAGTACCTATGTCATTTTATGACTTTTCCACTAAATTAAAAACATTAACTGCTGGTCAGTTTGCACATCCACAGCAATGAAACCCAAATAATATCATTACAAACAGAACTGGGCAGCAGAGGTTAAAGTATTATTATATACAATTAGATATTCCTGAATTATTTGCTGGCTGACACTTAGTTCTTGACAATAATTATGACAAAAGAAAGTATCTTGAAATCTTGCCCTTTTTTCCCTTGTAAATTTTTTTTTAAAAAAAGAGTAACCTGTTATTTATTCAGCCCTGCCAGGCAACATGATTTGCCAGAGGATAGAGCAGTTATAGGTATAAAATCTTTACTCAAAGGGCTTTTGGTGAGTAAAATTTAAAGCCCTAAGATGCACAGGTGCAGCCCCGAAATGCAGTGAGATATATTTTGCTTTAGCTTCAATATACATCACTGAGCTCTCAAGGAAAAACCTTTTATATCTCATTTGTGGAGCAAATCACAACAGCAGAGTCCCCACAAGTCAACTCCATTTAGTTCCTAGGGATAGAAGCCTAAGAGGGAACTAATCAGCTTCTCCCAGAAACTCCTCCTTGTTTCTGTGACCAAAAAAAGTCACCCTGGCAGTTCTGTTTTCTATTTACTGGGGTGTATAAATAAATAAAGCTCAGAGCATGACACTGTGCAGCACTGACCCCAAAGCTGAGCTGGATACGCTACAGGGAGCAATCCCAATTTGGAAGGGGCTGGAAAAGCTCTAACCACCATTGTCCTTTGAACCTGGAGGCCAAGGCAGCTCTGAGCACCAGTGTAAAGGCTCTGACCAAATCAAAGGTGTTTTGATGGCAAAAAGATTGATATGGTGGCCTTGTCCTTTGATCCAAATAGTTTTCATAACTTCCAGCAGAACAAATATAAACACAATTTATGAAAGCAGGAATTCTGGGATCCACCACCTCCAAATAACCTAAAGCTCCTCGAGAAGATAAGGTTTAACATTCTAATGATGGCACTAGAAAGGCTTTTTTTCCCTTTAAATAATATTTGAGGTCTCTCAGCACTAAATATAGTGAAAATCCTGGCATAAACTAAGTAAAGTAACGGAAAATTAAGTGAAACAAAACAGCACTAACTTTGATTTCAGTGCTGTAAACTTTTGAGCTGCATCCATGGAGGAAAAGGATGGTGGGAAGAAAATCAAATGCATACCACAGTAAATACCAGGTATTGTGATAAATTACTTTTATGCTTCCAATAATTGTAAACGTGGGGGAGCTTCATATTCCTGACATGCTTGAAGAGCTCTGCAAGCCTTGTTTTTATTATTGTTATAGAACAGCATCAGTTTCTAGTTTATTTGGTGGAGAAAATTGTCGAGTTACGTTATAAGCAACTCCAAGCAGTTTGTTCGGGGAAGCTGAAAGGCGGAATTTTAGCCCATTAGACACGGGCAGGGAAGCAAAAGGTCCAGTTTCAACCCAAACTCGATTAAATAGCGTCCCCCAGTGGTGGTACCTGGTATTGCAAACTCGAAAAACGAACTGAAATCCAGGGAGAAAATTCCAAAGCCCAGCAACGCACGAACACAAAATCCTTTTCTTGTCGCTAAAATAAATAGAACATTAGCATGTACTCTGTAACGCTATATAAATAATTTTAGAGAATAAATGAGATCATCATCGAAGTGCAATGTAACAGGAAGTCTAATTAATATGGGTGCTGACAAAAATAATTGAAGAGGGGTGACATAATTAATGCCAGTGAGCACAGGGCTACAGAAAACAGATATTGTTAAAATAACTTGATATCTTTCTTTTTTATGAGTGCAAGGAGTGACACATTAATCCTGAGACCATTCTAGATGTGGGTACTATTTTTACAACACTTTTACAGAGCCAGCAATCCAGGAGAAGGAATCTCCAAGAGGACAGACAGCATTTATCCAGTTTAGTGTGAGTTAGAAGGAGATGATGCTGAATTGCCAATTGCTCCACAATTGCTTTAAGAATGGAAGAACCTACTTCAAAAACATGCTATAAGATAATCAAATCTTGCATCCTCTCCCTCAGTGATGGAATACTAGGAAGGGAAAAAAAAATCAAAAGGCCTCTTTCACGCAAAAAAGATATGATTTCTGTTGAGTCCATGACTGGGTGGATCCCACACTAACATTCTGCCTCTTGTTCGTGGCATTTGCCAAAGGAGTTGGGCATCAGGCTTGGCAAACATGAGCCAAACTCTGGGATTCTCCAATGACCTCAAGGTTCTTTGCCAAAATATGGAGCAACTTCTATCCAAAGGTAACACACTGAAATTCTGAACTGCACCTCCTGACATGGTTTTCCAAGCAGGGATTGCTCCTGAGAAGCTCAAACTTCCCATTCTAGGAAACACAAACACACAACTGAATTTTAAAGGCTTCTCTTGCTCATTTAAAATAAAAGCTTCTCTAGCCCTCTCTGGTGTTATCCAAGGAGCACTGTATGAGGTGAGAAATACTCTATAAAAATAATATTTGTACCAATTTCTTGCTATTCTACCATGATTTTTTCTTCACAAAGCACTTTGTGAAGTAAAACTGCATGAAGAAGTGGATGTCCCATCATTCTGCAGCCACACTGCACTGCACCTTCATGCTCCAACACTTGAGAGGATCTTCTAATGCTGATACTCAAACATTTTTGAAACTTTTATTTTAAAACTACTAAAAATGCCCTTGTTATCCTGTTAGTTTTGGGCTGTTCCTGCACAAACTCCTTGCCCTGTATAAAGCCAGTTACCAGATGAGCACGAAAGTTCATCTCTGATCTCACAGGGGTAAACTCAGTTGTTACATAAAGTGCCAAGAGTTCTCTTTGGCTTCAGTGACTCCAGCTTTGCCTTTTGCAATCACAGGAACTCACTCTCCAAAAGAGGAAGGAAGGTGGAAACTGAGAAGGTTAAAACTGTTCTGAGTAGGATGTTAGAAATACATAAGTAGCTACTTGACAGTACCAGCAAGGCAGGAACTTGGCCCAAAGGTCTTCCATTTTCCTCTGTGAAACAGTGAACAAATGAGAGCAGTGATCTCAGCTACTTTTCTTTAATTAACCTTCACTTCATTGCAGTCATTGAATGTCACTGAGTAAGCACACTGGTCTGTGTTCCTCACTGTGTCAGCACTCAGCATCCTCTACATTTCAAACTCAATTAAATGTCTTTTCTCCCAAATGTTGTGTTTTTCTTACCCTTTCTCTCACCACGGGTTACTTCATCTTTGTTCCTACTGAACAAGAGCTCCATCATTTGGTCTCCATTTCCCCTTTCCTCTCACATCCTGCTTACATAATACATCTAAAATCATCCTGACTACCAAGCCCAAGTCTACACTTTGGTCGTCTCTCACTAAGTTATAACACCTCCTCCTCCTCAGATGTTTGAGAACTTGGCTTCTGCAAATCAGTTCCTTACAGATGGTGCTTCCATTTACTGGCACCAATTGGTTACTTGGAAGTATTAGTCACTGCAGATACACATTTTATAAAACATGTGAAAAATAAGAAGTGGAATAAACAGGAACATACAGTGACATACTGCCTTGGCTCTTTCCCAGGTTTTTTTCCTCCTAAGGACAAACACTACACAGCTCACACCATGTATTTATGTTCAAGTGAGGTTATGATGGAGGCACTTGGTGGGAATGTAGGAATGCTTTTCTAATAGTCAAAATAATCATTCCCAAAATGCCATGTTTTCAGCATTGCAGCCTTATTCACAGAGCAGTGACTCAGACCCAGAGACAGTGCACTGGACTCATGACCTTCCACTGCTTTTCTGTTTCATCTTGGACTAGACTTAATCTGTCAGTGCCTTTATTTCCCCCCGCTGTAAATGTGAGGGACAATATTGGTGTCCACTGTAAAATTAGTTGGCATTAGGGTTGCAGTTCTCACACCCCTTGCCCCGATCCCCACCTCAACTCCCTGAGTGCTGCAGATGATCCCACAAAATCAGGACTGAGGATTGGACCTGGGATCTCTCCTAGAAGATGCCAGGAAAACCATGGAGGGTAACACATATGCACTTATGCAGGTCTAGAGCTTAGGCACAGCAAGGCATCCTTGCTTTGTTCTTGTTCTTCCCTCCATCCTTTTCAACCCTCCAGTGCCTCCAATAGTTCCACATCACTGTCCTTGGAGTGAGAAACCTAAAAACAAACAGAAAAAACCCACATGTATCTTCACCACAACCACCCCATCCTCCTGCCACTGCAGCCTAACAGAGCTTAACTGCTTCTTCTCATTTGCCTCCCATAGACACCCCAACTACTTTTCCAGCATTTTCTCCACTGTCCCCCCAAAATCTCTCCGTTTTCCTTCACTGGAAGGGTATCGGTCCTCTCTGCTCGCCCACCCACACGAGCTGGGGCACTCCTGGGGCTCAGCACCTGCACTGGCCGGGCTTCCCCTCAGCCCTCACCTGGCACCGACCCCTCAGAGCCGCCCCGGTTCCCTCAGCTCGTTCCCCCCTGTCCCTCAGAGCTCTCCCGGTTCCCTCAGTCCGCCCCAGACCGGTCTTTGCGGTTCCCTTAGCTCGCTCCCTCCCTGTCCCTCACCTCAAGTTCCAGTTCCCTCAGCTCGTTCCCCCGTGCCCCTCAGGGCTCTCCCGGTGCCCTCAGCTCGTTCCCGCCTGTCCCTCAGCCCGCCCGAGTCCCTCAGCTCGCTCCCGGTTATCCCTCAGAGCTCTCCCGATTCCCTCAGCTCGTTCCCCGCTGTCCCTCAGAGCTCTCTCAGTTCCCTCAGCTCGTTTTCACCCGTCCCGCCTGACCCTCAACTCGTTTTCACCCATCCCGCCTGACCCTCAACTCGTTTTCACCCATCCCGCCTGACCCTCAACTCGTTTTCACCCATCCCGCCTGTCCCTCAGCTCATTCCCCCCGTCCCTCAGAGCTCCCCCGGTTCCCTCAGCCCGCCCCTCGGCGGGGCCGCTCCCCGCGCGGTGACCCCGCGCCCCGCCCCGCGCAGGCGCCCCGGCAGTCGCGGCCTCGGGGCCGCCGGTCCATGTCGGTTCCTGTAGTTCCCCTGCTGTCGCCGCCGGTCGCTGTTGTTTCCCCCCCCCGGTCCCTTCCATCCCCCGCCGGTCCCGATGCTCCGCACGGAGAAGGTGCTGCAGCTGCGGGGGCAGCAGGGCCGCGCCGTGCGGGTGGTGCGGGAGCACTACCTGCGGGCGGACGTGCCGTGCCGGACCGCGCTGTGCCGCAGCGCCCTGTGCCGCGCTCGCGGTGAGTGAGGGGCGGCCGCGGGCCGGGGCTGCGCGGGGGGACCGGGAGTGAGGGCGGGCACGGCCGGGAGCGAGCGCGGGGGGAGCCGGGGAGGGGGGCGTAGGGCAGAGCTGGGCACGAAGGGTGAGCCCTGAGCGGGGATGAGCCCTGAGCAGGATCGATCCCCGGGCTGAGGTGATTCCAGAGCGGGGTGATCTCTGAGCGAGTAGTGATCCCTGAGTGGGGGGTGATCCCAGAGCAGGGGTGATCCCTGAGTGAGAGTGATCCCTGGCCTGGGGTGATACCTGAGCGGGGGGTGATCCCTGAACAGGGGGTGATCCCCGGGCTGGGTGATACCTGAGCGGGGGGTGATCCCTGATCAGGAGTGATCCCTGAGCAGGGGGTGATCCCTGAGCAGGGGGTGATCCCTGAGCAGGGGGTGATCCCTGAGCAGGGGGTGATCCCAGGGCAGGAGCTGATCCCAGGGCAGGAGTTGATCCCAGGGCAGGAGTTGATCCCGGGGCAGGAGCTGATCCCAGGGCAGGAGTGATCCCAGAGCGGGAGTGAACCTCCCTGCTGAGGTTCGGACGGTGCTGAACCACGCTGGAAAAACCAAACGGTCCCAACTCGCGGCTGTAGCAAAAGTTTCCCTCCAAAGCAAGATCCTTCGGAAATCAGCGAGGCGTTAAGAAAGAAAGGAATCGCGGAGTTGGTTGTTACAGGGATTAACTGTGAGCGGTTTACAGCCAGTGATAAAGGGCTGAAGGATTGTTCAATTTTTACACTCCCCATGTTTTAAAAGATCCTTAAAAAAGGCATTAATTTCTGCAGGGTGGTGGTTTATAGCATGCATTAAATTCTATACATACCTGTTAAGTACAACAATGGGGCCAAGCCATTATCTTGAAGCGACTGTAATTCTGCATCAGCAGTTCTTTCTGTTCGGTAATTAAATGTAATTGCCTGTGTTATATCAGGGCATTTCAGACACGGGAAGGCTGCCAGGCTCTGATGTCTGCATTTGTTGTTGTTTTTACAGACTGTGGTGCTGTTTATGTGCATCATAGATCATCACCTGGGCTTGGGTTGATATTTCAGTCTGGTTTTTTGTTGGTGTTAAACAGCACAATTAAACATTAACATCCAACCTGTTTCAATAGACCAACTTATTTGCTTGCCTAAAAGAAGAGGTTGAGAATTTTAATTCTTTGGAATTGTCACTGACATAGATATTGGCACTTTTGGTTTAGGTGTCTGTTGCAACTGTGGGCAGATATATTACTTATGTTATTGCCGTATATTACGTAGGATGTCAGGCCTAGGGAAAGTTACTGCTTCCCAATATATTGCATTTGGTTTTGAATTCCCTAAAGATAAGTTAAAAACACATACCAGAAAAAAAGTCTTATCTCTCCTGCCGTGCCAAACTTCCCCTCTTCTGCACTTCAGTGTAAATTGTGCTGTAGGTGACTGTCAGAATATGTCCCTTTGTAATTATTCAAGGTAACCCAGAGGTGAGGGGAACGTTTGTTTTCACTCCTGACTTTGCACAGTGTGCTGAGCAAATTTATTTCCTGCACTGTGAGGGACTGCCTGAATAAATCACACCTGCAGGTGCTTGTAAGGGTGCGCTGTGCCTGCTCAGAAGTTATTCTGTTCTGGATGTATAGGTTAGGCAAGGATAGCTCAGTGTGGGCAGATTACATAAATCTTCCAGTGACATTTCACTTTTAATGCTCTTCTGAATTATTAATAAATATTAGCTTTCTTGTATGCATTCTGCCATCATCCATTATAATCCTTCAGTGGGAGATGAAGCCAAATTACAATTGTGCTGACTGGATCCACACTTCCAGTGATCACAGTTCACTGACAGATTGTCCTGGGTCAGCTTCTAAAAAAGACATGAAAATAGCATGACTTGTCAAGGTCTGTATACTTTTATTATATATTATTTGCCTGCACTCTGGTGAGCTCAGCGATTCAGTGTTTATAATACCATGAGGGTTAAATAGATGCCAAGAGAAAATACAGTGGACATCCCCTCCCATCCGAAAGTTTATTGGGTAATCTTTGAAATACCAAAACCAATTAAACTCATTAATTTTTAGGTGCATTTTAAGGTGTCATCTGTGATGGGCTGGCTATGATATTTTGATGGCTTATTCCTAAGGGAAGGAGTCTCTTTAGAGAAAATTAGCAATGATGGTTAACAGTTTGGGTTCAAGAACATCTCCTCTTAGCAGTAGCATTGCTTTTCTCCCTGTGTACCCTTACCTGTGCACTTTTATATAAAGATATACCAAAAAAGCCTGCTGTAAATGGGTATTGTTAACAGAGGGAGCTGTGGGAGCAACATAACAGAACTGCCCATGATTCTACACCTCTTGAAAATTCCATTAAAAGATTTTCTCTGCCAGATGTGTACTCCCTTTTTCACATGGAAGCAGAGAAAAAAGGACTATTACCTGCACTCAAGTTACAGGCTTTTTTTTCATAATGAAACGGCCTCTTTTTCACTCCTTTGGATAGAATTTACTCTAAATTTTGGCATCAGTGGATGCAAAAAGGGTTCTGTCATAAATTTAGAGACTTGACCACAGAACTGTACCATGGTAGCCATAATTGTGTTCAGCAGAAGAAGAGAGAGGTACATCTTGGAGGACACACAACTTGAATTCCCTGATGTCTGAATCAATGTTAGAAGTGACAGTTTAAGCCTTTGAACTGTGGATTAAATTTCAGATGGCAAACTGCTCTCAGATGACGTCACACACTACGTTGTCCCCGACTGCAAAGTTGTGCAGGAGTACCTGGAGATTCTGGAGTTTCCGGAGCTGAAAGGAATTATTTTCATGCAAACAGCTTGTCAGGCTGTGCAGCATCAAAAAGGACGCAGGTACTTATCCCATAAAACCTTATTTTTTATTTAGGTTGAAGTAAAAATAGACACTTCGTAAAACGTATCGTTTGTTTTTAGGTCTTTCAAGTGTCTTAATATAATTTTACAGAAGGGGAAGAACGAGGGTCCTTTGTGATCCATGGGCAACAGTGCCTGGCATAGTTTTCACTTGATAGGAGTAGTATTAAACCTGTAATATTATTAATTAATCCAATGGTTGTGACAGGAATTAATGAGACTTTGCAGTAATGATGTATCACGTGCCACAACTGGATTATGGACAGGTTTGGGTTTGCTCTGTTGAGGACTGAGCACTTGTCTTTGGGGAGCAATTAGTACAATGCTGTGGTACTTAGCAGACATTAACCTGTGTATCTCCATGGCATTTTAGAGTCAAATTTGCTCCCAGGGCCTTCCTGTATTTCTGAAGCACAAATGCTTTTGCAGGAATAGCCCTTGTCCCAGAGTGACAAAATAAGCTTCTGAACACTTAGGATGTTTTGTGGGGCTCAGTGGAAAGCAAATATGTTTAAATCAGAATGTTTAAAATTAAACATGTTGAAAATTAAATCAGAGTGTTTAAAATCATATGTTTAAAATCAGAAGCATTCCCAATGGAAGTCAGAAAAGCTTGCTTGCAGGTGGTGGTTTAGGTTTTGTCATCAGTGGTATTATTTGATGAATGCTTTTCTTTGTGCATGACAGTAATTTGCCTTGAGTTCTTCAGCTGTATTTTCACCTGGAGTCAGAACAGCAGTATCAAAAGAAAGCACAAAAGTATATTTATCTCTTTTGTATTTCAGACAGTACAACAAGTTACGAAATCTATTGAAGGATCCCCGTCATGACTGTACAGTGTTTGCCAATGAATTCCACCAGCATTGCTATTTGCCAAGAGAGAAGGGAGAATCCATGGAGAAATGGCAGACCAGGTCTGGTTTAACCTCTGTGGTGCCACACTGGGCAGGATCATGGCTCTGTATTTAGGAATATGAGCATTGGGTACTGAGAGTTCATGCCCTTGCTCTGCTTGGCTTTGGAGCAGTTCACAGTCACTGAAAGTCTAGATCGTGCTTTGATGATTAAGGAAGTGTCAACATTGTTTTCTTAGGAAAATAGACAAAATACACTGAATTAAATGGAATAATGCTAAAAAAAAGCTGGATCATTTTAAAGTTACACCCCAGCATTGGAGTCTTGGCAGCTCCCCTTGGGAGCTCCCCTTGCTTTTTACAAACTTCTACTCCAACAATATGTTGTGTTGCAGGCAGGGCACGAGTGGATGTACTGGGGAGGAAACATCCTATTTTCCTCTCTTCTCCTGGGGCTTATAAACACATAAACATTTTTGCAGGTAAAAGGTTTCTGTAGCTTGTGTGTATCTCTCAGAAGTCTGTGTGTTAAACCAAAATCTCGTTTATACAAAGCCAGCAAAAGTCTTGCGAGTAGCAAGTGAGCTATGCCAGAAAAGTTATTTCAAACTTTGCTTTTCTAGGAATATTTACAATGCAGCAGCCTGGTATTACAACCACTGCTTGGGGCAGATGCCAGTTG